ATTTTTAGCCTTGAAAATGGTCACTCCCAAATCGACCTGCCTGCTAAAAATCGTGAACCTCGGACCTTGCCTTCAAGAGTTATCGTGCCTAATCTGCCAAACAGTGCAAAAGCGATTTCATAGCCTTCTCCGAAGGCATAGCCTTCAGTCGAAGGCAATTAAGAAAAACATGGAAAAGAAGTGGAAACGAACTCAAAACAAGTCAATCAAAATGCTTGGAGGTCAACCACCGTCTGGATGCTGACCCCGTGAACATGGAATTTTGACCTAAAAACCAGTTGAATAAACCCTTAGCGTTCAGACCATGTTTTCGGCGAAAAAAAATCTTAAAACGCCTTCAGTGGTTTTTGAAAATCGGATTTAAACCATTAAACTGTTGATTTTCGTTCAAAGTGGGCTAAATAAAAAACGGTTTGTGAAGAACGGGTTAAAACCGCTAAATTCGGTATTTCTATGACTGAACCATTACGTTGTAGGTGTACGCGTTTGGTTGCTTTGACCGTGTAAGCTTAACAATTCCACTTAAATTAGTGAAATATAGTCTTCAAACAACACTTCACACACCTGCAGTAGGTTAAGGTTGTAGGATGTTTCTCCTTTGAAGCACATTCTCACCACCAGAAGGTCAAGGTTAATACCCAGCATGCCCAGGTGGACCCTGGCAAAGATCTCGTTGTGGCTGTTGGCTTTAAAATGGCCGCTGAGGGGCGCTGTTGAAGAGAAGACATTTTTTGACATGATCAGCTACATTAACATAAACAAGGTCTTAATAATGTATTTCCTATATGTTCCACATTATCCGGAGTTAAGTAACAAATGTTGAAACCCACGTGCACAAGCCACAAACCACAGATCGCCAACAAATGGCACATAAAAACATATTTGGCAACTTACTGACTTAACCACATGGTGTCCTGTAAGTATGCATACATGTACAAATGGTGCATTCCATCTGGCTGAACTTTGCTTGCTTACCGCTGCCACTTGCGATGATTAAGAAACTTGCAGTTAGGCTACTAAAACACCGACAGTTTATGTCTTATAGATTGTGAAATGATATTTAACCACGTCTTCAAGGACACTGCATTTGGTCAACTCTGTGTTACGCCACATAATGACAATAAATACGGACTAATACAATGCATGTTGTCCACAGCCCCAAATAGCAAATACATTTCCACATGGAATACATACACAGATACATATTTGATTTTTGATTGATTTGATTGATTTTATTGTTTGCACATTAACAAGACGGACAATAATAATATAAAAACAATGATAAAACAGGTGCAGGAGAAGGGGAGAAGCATGGCGTGCTTATACTAGGCCCTCCTCCTCTAAACTATACAAAATTAAATATAATTAATAAATGGAAATAATACAATAGAAAATGGAAATAATACAATAAGGATAATGAAATAATGTAAGGTATAAGTTAATGACAATGAAAATAAGGTAATGATAATAATTGGTATGAGTTATAATAGGAGAAAACACTAAATAAAACTACTACAGGGGGCTAGGTTCGTGAATCAGATGGTTTTTCAAAGCTTGTTTAAGTGAGAGATGAGACAAGGTAGGATTCTTTAGGGCTGGAGTTAGTTCATTCCATAAGGTGACACCTTTGTATCTAACCGACATTTGGGCAAGAGAAGTTTTTACATACCTATTTTAAGGTCTAGGCCATTCTTCACAGTCACTCCAAAGGAAGCGCCTATTGTTGAAGACCCGATGATTCTTTTCCAGTCCACACCAGGGGCTGACAGGAGGAACGTTATGTCTTCAAAGAAGCCTCTCTTTGTGCGAAGCCTCGTGGGTAGCTCGCAGTGTTCTAGAGCTGGGCTTGTCACATTCTGTACTCTATTAAACAAAAGGAACATGTATTTTGATTTTAATTTGCAGATTGCTATAATGTTTCCCAACATCATTCTGCTTTTTGCTATTGATATATTAGTTCGGGGAATGAATACTACATAGCATTGTGTATTTGTAACATTTTTCTAGGTGACCCGAGTTCCGTGTCTCAATCGACGCCCTGGGAAAGTCAAGGGAAATGTGAATATTGACACTAAGTTCCTCAGACGCATTATAAATATGATTTTATGTATACGTACATTGTGCAATATTGAGTTACCTTTTATATTGTCTGTCCCCCTGCACGCTCGGCCATCACTGATCGAGGTGACATTGGATTTATGTGAATTCATTTTTGAACAAAGAGTGATTTTACTATATTATCAGAGCCTTTTAACTGAAAAAAGTCAAATATCCTGTTACTGAATAGTGTACTGTAAAGAATTTCCGTTCCCCTTCTATTTCTTAAAATCGAAGAAAAAGCCTACCCTGGCCCGATGGGTTGTTGTGTCCATGGTACTTGTTGTCCATGCGGATGTGCCTGGTAGTACAGGCTGGCCTCGTACCGTACATGCTCGTCCTCGTCTGTCAGGGCGGACTGTAGCAGCCGGTCTGCTGACTGGTGTGAACAGAGTGCGTAGGCAATAAATACTAGTAATGTTTCCCTACATAATTCTTTTTTATTAAGTCGGTAAATAAGCAAATTATTTATTCAACAGACGGCGTTCCGATAATCCGCATTTTTATCTGAGCTATATTGACTGGTTCGCTGTAAAATGAAGCTATGTCTTTCTCGTATAGTCCAATAGAATTTTGCCTTATCTTATTTACGTTAAGGGTAAATTGGTAACTTTATCATGTTAATCTTATCCTGTAAACATATGTAAAGTCAAGGCTGTGAGTCTCTATTAGCGTCAGCATCATCAAGCTACAGGAGTTGAACAGTTAAGAATATTATTATTAAGTAAATCGATTATTTGTGTTATAGAATGGTTGTTTATTCTATACAAACTCATCGCAGTTTATGAGCTGAATTGCGATTTCACATGTACATATACACATTTTAACAAGTTGACAATGTCATATACAATCGGTCGAAAATTTTGCAAACGGCGAACAGGTGACAATACGTATTTAAAAGACGCAGTGCATATTTAAAACATACAATTACATATTTAAGAGATACCAGTTGTGTTGGAAATTACACTTCAAAATTGTTTGATTTCTTATTGCTCGCCTGTTTGTGTTGGTAGTTCCTGAGTGCATGTAGACCAGACCTCCTCAGCAGCGGCGGAGCTGAACTGTGGTTAGTGTAGGACACGATGTGTTCATAGGAGCTGGACTGGGCAGCATTTCCTAAAGCCTCTATCAGCGTCACCCGCTCAAAATCATGCTGTTCCAGTTCTGTTGCAGTCTGGGTAGAACGTTTCTGTCTTTCCAACCAAGGATCTGAGAAAACAGAACAACCAAAAAAAGCTGCATTTATCGAAGGAAACTAATAATAAGAGGTGACATATCTGAAGAAAAGGTTTACCATGTTTTAGCAGAAAAGGTTGAAACTAGGTAAGCAAATTGTAATTATTATTGGGTAATTCTAAATGTTATATGGGATTTACATCCATGGATGTGGGATACCTTCTTGCAATCCATGTGGTATCTTGCATAAAGCCTTAGAATGTACAGTATAAAACTTAACATATGGAATCCCATTTTAATTACTTGTACCATTTTTAAAAATCTATTTCATCGGACACCACAAAACAAGGCTCATGGGAGCCACTTAAAATGTTTTAGGTTACAGTACAACCAGTGAGGACAGATGTTTGTTGACCTTAGACTTGAAGCAATCACGAGGTATCTTATTTTAAAGTGATGTTGTTCTTGGAAAGAAGCTTTCAGCATGAAACTTCCTCCCAAGAGGTGGTGAATGGAGGAAGAAAGGGTGATTTGCTTCAGTGGAAGTGGCAAGACGTGTCATTGTTGAGAATTTCTGAGATTATGACCGAGACGGGATAGTAGGTACGTTTACACTTGTTAGTAGGCATTCGTAATCCTCTCAGAACTAATTCTCAATCAAACTCTTCATTTTAAGATGTCTGTTTCAGGATGCCAACAAGATGTTTAGTTCAAGGGCAATGTACATATCCAATTCAATTTTATTTATGTATAAATACAATAAATTGAACCTGTCAAATTTATCAGACCAGTCTAATGTAAGATTAAGGGCAGCATCTACATGTACAATACTTACCGTGCAGTCCCAGTTGATCTTCCATACGTCCAACAATCCGCCGTGCTGTCTCAGGGTCGCCGTGCGCTGACACAACGTTGGCAAGAGAGCCAAGGACGAGCAGGCACATTTGCCGAACTGAAGGATCCAAGTATACATCTACAAAAACACTTTTTTTAAATCATAGGAGTTTATTTTGACAATATTTGATGAAAAATGCACCAAGTTGCATATGTAGCGACGATATGAAACCTCAATGGCATCCGAATTTTTGCAATGTACGTTCAAGGCCGAAAGAATTTGAATCGAAAATTAAAAAAAAATGGTTTGTTGGGTAAATTATACGCTATACAGTATATGTAAGTAAGGGTATCATTACATTTTACTAGGTATCAAATGTAAGGGTACGGATAACTTTGGAATAACTTACGTTTGGGTAGAAGTCATTTCAGAATGTCTATGTTCACGCAAGGGTGATTTGGGACAATTGATTTTTTTGCATGGAGACAGATAGGGAGTACAATATGCCGTATTTGCTTTATTCTTTATTTTCCGCTCGACATCGCAGTCACTTTTAGCTTTGAAGTGTCATTAAACATACATACCATTGTCGGGATAAAAAGCCAAATCTTCAAGAGCGGAGACAAGAAGCTGAAATGGGACAAGAAGAAACGATTCTTGTTATCATTTCTATTCATTTTAAAGGATATACCCGAGAATGCAAAATTAAGATGATTACATTTGTGTAAGACTTTTATTACACTTACTTTGGATGGAGGATGATCAAGACCGACAAAGTTGGGAAGGACGTGTTCAATCATGTGTTTGCTGGGTCGAGGGGACAGAAGGACGTTCTCCACAACTAGTTTATCACTGAAGTCCGTGTGGAACGACGCGACAGCATTAATCAGGTTCTGTTTGTCCAGCTGCCGTGTACTGCAAGGAGAGATACACAAAACTTAAGCAGATACAAAAATAAGTTTGGGAAGTAAAGAGATATTAAAATCCTTGTCCTGCGGGGCCCATATATATATGGGTTGCACATACAGTACCATCTATATAGTGCCCTGTATATGTGCGATTTGGGGGTGTTTCTTGTGCAACGCATCACACCGCAGCGAAACGCAACGAATGCGGAAGTAACTACGCCGCCGCAGGGCAAAAAAAGTCAAGGGTCTGTGACCTGATTAAGACATGAAATTATTTGAAAGTATTGTGTAAAAATTGCCAGCAGGACAAGGGTTAAGGTCATAGTTTTTACAGCACACATCTCACTAACTCACTACACTCACTACTTACCTACCTACTCTACCACTCACCCACCCATTACATTCATTCATTCATCCATTCATCTATTCATTATTTTATTCATTCATTCTTTCATTCATTCATTATTTCATTCATTAATTCTTTCATTTATTCATTCATTCTTTCATTCATTCTTTCATTCATTCATTCATTCATTCATTCATTCATTCACTCAGAGTAGAGACTGTCTGGTTCAATAGCCGTTTTAGGTAATCTTCTGTGTTTTCAAATCGAACTGGTCTGTTTGCACGGTGGCAACAATTAACGAATCTGACACCTGTGCATGTTATATTAACAAATCCCCTGGTCTTTAGACTTCAGCTTGTGCAGAACTTCTAAACACCACATAATGGTTTACATAAGAATCCTTAAGCCTTTAGACACTAGGTTGTGCATAATGCATGTAGAGTTGATCTGTATACAAGGCTAACAATAAACAATGCTGTCACCTGTATGGATGGACAGTTTATTTTGACAACAGGTCTGTAAAAAACATAACATGGAGCCGTAATAATCCCTTAAACCAGGATTTGTCATAGATATAACAGTTAGTATGCGTGTCGTGCTTGTAAGTACCATCAACACAGCCTGTGTTGTTCTTGTGTTGCCTTAGTTTTGACATGCGTGACATTTTACACGACCAGAAGTATAGGGGTATTGTCGAGTTGAACTCGTTGGTAATACATGTCTGCAGACATAATTCTTTACAAACAACCAGGTGATAATTGCCAAATACTTTTCATTTATACTTATCCATGTGTGAAGTGCTAATAAAAACGTCTACTCAGTAAGAGCATTCGGTATGTCTGTGAGTGGTATCCTCCTCTGAGCTATGAGAAATCAAATTGCAAAGGGATTTTTTTTCTTAATGAACTTGTCGATTTTCAAGCTGATTGCCTAACAATTTATAGTTGACGACATAGCAGAGCAGAATTTTACGTAACAACCCAATAAACTCCAAAGTCTTAATGGGCTGTACTTGGTCTAAAGTGATCTTGCTTTACACGGCAAGGAGACCCTTTAAAACCAGGCTTGAGCCAGCTTATGGTGTGTCACTCACAGTTATTCTTAGCAGTGTAAATGACACCGTAACATAATAAGCTGTTGTTTTCATATTGCCATGGTTATGTCACGCTACCCAAATCTTTGCAAAGATCTGTTATTTTGCCCTTTAGAGGGAATGTTGAGCCTTCATTTTTAAGTACAGGGAAGCCTCATCCAATCACCACACAAAATACAACCAATGCGCAACTGACAAACGCCTTTGGTTATTTTTGTCGAGTAGCAAGGAATAAAACTGAACACAAAGAATGTGCATATTTCATGCACATCAGACGTAACATATAAGTATATATTCATTATCTACGATTTCCTATATGGTAGCTTGCCTGATAGATTTGTTTAAAACATAGTGTACACATTTATACAATCTCGTAGGAAGTGCATATCTATTTTAAAGGCCTAGAGGTTTATTTCTTTAAGGCCACACAAACTCGGATGTTTTTCAGTTGAAAATTAAATCGACTGGATATAAAAGTAAATTGTGCTAATAGCAACGGGTCGGGTGTGAACAGTCAGCTGTATATGGTTGAAAGATGAAAGGCCACCGTCTAACCATGGCAGCTTCCCTTGTGCCCCGAGCTGGGATTGGTATCCCTGTCAATAATTTGCCATTTCAAAACACGAAACATTCTATTTTTACATATTGCATATGGTTTAAAGTTACTTTTATTTCAATATTTGGTTTTGTTTTGGCAGCAACAGAAAGGTAAGAGAATCCCCGAAAACCGCACACCCCATCCCACCCTTATATGTTAAGATTGCAAACTTCCTCTGTTCTAACGGAAGTGACCTACACCCACAAGGCAAAGGTCACCATTTCCCTGAGGCGCAGAGGTCACATTTTCAGTGCATCCAGACCAACTGTAACAGACTACTATTCGGTATGTGCGGATAAATGGTGGCATTTTCCAGCTGGAGAGTTATTTTTACTTGTATTTTGTTTAAAAAAAATTGGCTTTTAGTGGTGTTTTTGGCTGCTTTGTAGAGCTCTAGAACTAATTCCATCTTCTTGTGTTTGGTGGTCTTCAAAGGGGTCAGAGGTCATACTGTCAGTGTTTGCATTCTTCGTACAATATTTCGCTGGTCAAAAAGTGAAATTTTTGGAGTATGTGGCCAATTTGAAGGTTGGACTACCTTGTCAATGTGTGTTTGCAATTGTTGAACACTCAAGTAGGTGTTTTTATTAAAGCTAAGTGCTAAGATGTTTTCCATATATTCCAATAGGGGCTGGGAATAGTGGTTTGTCTACTTATTCCTTCCAATCATCATTCTAAAGTAGAGACTTCTCAATAACCAATAACCGTTTTAGGTAATCTCTCTGTTTGCAAATCGAACTGGTCTGTATGCACGGTGTCAACGATTAACGAATCTGACAACTGTGCATGTTATATTAACAAATCCCCTGGTCTTTAGACGTCAGCTTGTGCAGAACTTCTAAAGACCACATAATTGTTTACATAGAAAGAAAGAAAGAAAGTTTATTGCAAATTCATGCCCGAGGGCTAATTGCAAGAACATAATAACAACAGTGAACAGTAGAATGATAATAAGTGATGCTAATGCTACTTTATATATACATTTGTAATAAGAATCCTTAAGCCTGTAGACACTAGGTTGTGCATAACTCATGTATAGTTGATCTGTATACAAGGGTAACACTAAACAATGCTGTCACCTGTATGAATGGACAGTTTATTTTGACAAAGCCTATAGAAAACATAACATTAAGCCGTAGTAATCCCCTAAACCAGGATTTGTCATAGATATAACAGTTAGTATGCGTGTCGTACCTGTAAGTACCACGAACACAGCCTGTGCTGTTCTTGTGTTGCCTTAGTTTTGACATGCGTGACATTTTACACGACCAGAAGTCGACCTTAGTCTAGGGGTATTCTCGAGTTGACCTCGTTGATAATACATGTCTGCAGACATAATTCTTTACAAACAACTTGGTGATACGTGCCAAAATACTTTTTATTTATAATTATCCATGTGTGAAGTGCTAATATAAACGTCTACTCAGTAAGAACATTCGGTATGTCTGTGAGTGGTATCCTCCTCTGAGCTATGAGAAATCAAATTGCAAAGGGATTTTTTTTCTTAATGAACTTGTCGATTTTCAAGCTGATTGCCTAACAATTTATAGTTGACGACATAGCAGAGCAGAATTTTACGTAACAACCCAATAGACTCTAAAGTCTTAATGGGCTGTACTTGGTCTAAAGTGACCTTGCTTTACAAGGTAAACTGATCCTTTAAAACCAGGCTTGAGCCAGCTTGTGGTGTTTGTCACTCACAGTTATTCTTAGCATTGTAAATGACACCGTAACATAAGCTGTTGTTTTCATATTGCCATGGTTATGTCACGCTACCCAAATCTTTGCAAAGATCTGTTATTTTGCCCTTTAGAGCGAATGTTAAGCCTTCATTCTTATGCCTCATGCACTCACCACACGGGAGAGAAGGGTCGTCCTTGACCAAAAATACAACCCATGCGCAATTGACAAACGCCTTTGGTTTTTTTGTCGAGTAGCACGGAATAAAACTCAACACAAAGGATGTACATAGTTTATGCACATCACACGTAACATATGAGTATATATTCATTATCTACGATTTCCTATATGATAGCTTGGCTGATAGATCTGTTTAAAACATAGTGTACAAATTTATGCCATCACTGGGAAAGTGCATATCTATGTTAGAGGCTTAGAGGTTTATTTCTCTAAAGCCACGAAAACCCGGATGTTTTTCAGTTGAAAATTAAATCTACTGGATAGACAAGAAAATTGTACTAATAGCAACAGGTCGGGTGTGAACGGTCAGCTGTATATGGTTAAAAGATGAAAGGCCACCGTCTAAGCATGGCAGCTTCCCTTGTGCCCTGATCTGTGATTGGTACATCCCTGTCAATAATTTGCCATTTCAAAACACAAAGAATTCTATTTTTACATATTGCATATGGTTTATAGTTACTTTTCTTTCATTTTTTGGTTTTGTTCTGGCAGCAACAGAAAGGTCAGAGAATCCCCGAAAACCGCACACCCCACCCCACCCTTATATTTTAAGATTTCAAACTCCCTCTGTTCTAACGGAAGTGACCTAGACCCACAAGACAAAGGTCACCATTTCTCTGAGGCGCAGAGGTCACATTTTCAGTACATCCAGACCAACTGCGACAGACTATTATTCGGTATGTGCGGATAAATGCTGGCATTTTTCATCTGGAGAGTTATTTTTACTTGAATTTTGTTTTTAAAAATGGCTTTTAGTGGTGTTTTGGCTGCTTTGTAGAGCTCTAAAACTAATTCCATCTTCTTGTGTTTGGTGGTCTTCAAATGGGTAAGAGGTCATACTGTCAGTGTTTGCATTCTTCGTACAATATTTTGCTGGTCAAAAAGTGATATTTTTGGAGTATGTGGACAATTTGAAGGTTGGACTACCTTGTCAATGTGTGTTTGCAATTGTTAAACACTCAAGTAGGTGTTTTTATTAATGCTAAGTGCTTAGATGTTTTCCAATAGGGGCTGGAAATAGTTGTTTGTCTACTTATTCCTTCCAATCAT